GTACCAGTAGCAGCAGTAGCAGCAGCAGTAGCAGCAGGAAAACAGCAGTAGTGGTAGTCCTATTCCTGGACTGGTAGCAGTAGTGATTGTTCCCGCTGTCGGAAGAAACGACAGAAGAGGTGTAAACTCCGACAAGCATCCCTACGGCAAAGACATAGTTCCTAAAGCTGACAACTCTCGTTACAAGAGCTGATCTAGAAGTTATCTTTCTGCGTGTTTAAAGCCTTTGTCCAAGTAGCTTCCGTGCTTCCAAATTTTCAATGAAGAAGCAGGCTGATGCAAGTTACTGCAGTCCCCCGATGTATCTGCACCAGTCCTAAGTGGCAATTATTAACCCAAAACGCACGAAAAAACATAAAGCCCGAAACGTCTTAAAGGCCCCTAAAACCGGCTAACGCCCTCAAAGCAAGCCTTGAACCTCTAAAAAAACCCTGAAAATCAAGCAACACTAAAACCGAAGCCCCAAACCCTAGTATCGAAGCTTCAAAACCCGACTCCACAGTTGCCAGGCTCCTACTACTCGACCTCCTGCAGCGCGCGGGAGAGAGCGATGGCGAAAAAAAGCGTTTGCCGAAATTTCGTCAAAGGATTTCGGAGACTGCAGCCCCTGTTTGAGATTTAGGGTTTAGCCTGGGACTTAGTAACCAAGGACCCACTTACAAAGCCCCTGATCCTCCCAGGGACCCCAATCTTGAAGAATCCGAGTCTGCCATCAGCCCGAATCAAGGGCTGTGAACTCTTAGTTAGGGACCTAGAAATGACATAAGCATACAGAAGAGTTCGTGGTGACATCTACTTCATAGAAGGGATCGAAATCTAAATCATCAGCGATATTCTCCCTGTATTAGCCCGAAATAGTATGATAAGAGAGTGTACCGATTTACCCCAAGACCCTATTCTGACATTTACGGTGCCTACAGTACAGTTTAGAGTTTAGGGTTTAGGGCTTAGGGTTACCACAAACCGTCATGGGAGTTGGAAACTCCGTTTAGTTCGGCCTGGGCCCGTTTGTGGAATCCTGATTACACGGACCCCGTGGCGAGATACTGTTGATGATATAAATCCTGCAGTACAATAGCGACCCTAAACTATGGGAATTATGGTCTATTCCTTATTATGGGTAATGCAGAATTTATATCATCAATCGTACCACTGATTGTAAGTGACCAGCTGTTAAGAACCGGAACCATGACCCGAAACCCTAAACCCTAAACCGTCTAATATGGGGGTTTCCGAAAATAGGGGACCCTAATATAGCACACTAAATAGTCGGATCCTTATTATAAGGACCCCAAAATAAGGTACCCCTAATTTTCGGAAAGTCCCATATAGAAGCCTAGACAATTACCTAGACCATCCCTGAAGTTCCTTACTATAAATCTACTACAAAGGAGCCCAAAAACCTTTTTCCTCAGTGGCTGAGTAGGTAACTTTAACCTTTCGGGCCTCATATAATCCTACTAGAACTCAAAAGGTTAACTTTTTTTGGGCTAGGGTACTCAGCCCCAAAGTTTCGAATCATTAAGGCCCCGACATGAATCCCCAAAACCCTCAACCCTCTTCCGTCATCCCAAAGGCTTCGGATTTGTGCTCGGACCGGGACACTTTGGGATCCAATTTAGAGTCGGCAGTAGGCCCTAAGTCCAAGCCCTAAACTCATATGGGGGTTTCCGAAAATAGGGGTACCTTCTTTGGGGGTCCTTATAATAGAGATCCTACTATTTGGGGTACTATATTAGGGTCCCCTATTTTGGGGAACCCCCCATATGAATCAAGGTAGGCCTCTTCAAAAGCAGCAAATAACCTTGCAGACCTCATTCCAAACCTAGACAGCTCCACGACTAGGGCAAAGAAATAGTAGCTCCTAAACCCTAAGCCCTAAACCCCTAAACCCTAAACCACTAAACCCTAAACCCTAAACCAAGGAAAAGAAGCCTAAACCCATGGCACGCACGCTGGCAGTTGTCCACCTCGCGCTCTTGTCATGGAGTCGCGTACTCGAGGTCGACGAAATCGACACCTTCCCCAGCATCTTAGTTCCCCAATACCCAACCTTTAAACTTTTTGTGGGTTTAGGGTTTTAGGTTTTAGGGTTTAGGGTTTGGGGTTCTACTTGGAGGATCATGGGACTTAGTAAGTAAGGTTATAGCTACCTTAATTGGGGTTAGAGTTACTTATAAGTATAGTTACCTTCTTTATAAGCCTAGTTCCCCAATACCCAACCTTTAAGCTTTTTGGGGCTCTTATAATTTCGTAGTAATCTGAAAGTTTAACCTTTTATGT